TTCAGCCAAGACAACAATTTCAGCATCCTCCTGGATTTCAGCAGCCTAGTTAACAAAATTAAAAACAACAGAATTACCAACAACATCATAATTTTCAGCAACAACCTTCAAATCAGCAATCTAGCAGCACTGGCATAGCCTTGGAAGACATCATAAAAACGTTTGGCTACCAGTACTCACACATTCCATAATGAAACCAAAACAAGAATAACAAATCTGGAACAAAAAATGTCTCATCTTGCCACCTCTATGTGTCGATTGTAGTTGTAAGGGAAACTGCTCGCTCAGACAGAACAAAATCTGAAGCATAATGTGAGCGCAATCTCATTGAGAAGTGGGAAAATTTATGGAGACCAAGTAAATCGAATGAAGAAAAAAAAGGAGGTCGTGATTGAAAAAGAAACCGAAGTGAGTGAAAACGAATCTGAAGAAACCGAAGTGGTTAAAGAGAAACAACCTACAAGGAAAGCGAAGCCGATCATTCGAGAGTATAGACCGGTGCCACCATTCCAATCTAGATTGAAGAGCATGAAGCACGAACGAGAGCACAAAGAGATTATTGACACCTTTCGAAAGGTGGATGTAAATATTCCAATACTTGATGCAATTAAACAAATACCTCGTTACGCGAAATTTTTAAAAGAAATTTCTGCTAAGAAAAAAAAGTTAAAAAACAATGAAGCGATTAAAGTTGGCGAAAATATTTCTGCTATTTTGCAAAAAGGTTTACCTCTGAAGTGCAAGGGATCTGAAATTTTCTCGATTTCTTGTAAATTAGAAAATCTTAATTTTCTGAAAGCCACGCTAGATTTAGGTGCCTCGATTAATGTCCTCATATTTTCTATTTTGGAAGAATTATATTTGGGACCTTTAAATAAGGTTGGGACTATAATTCGGTTGGATGACCACCCGATGTCCTCCTATTTTCTGTTTTTGAATAATTATATTTGGGACCTTTAAATAAGGTTGAGACTATCATTCAGTTGGCTGACCACCCGCTAATTTTTACATTATGGACATAGGCGATATTGATGTTTTTGATAGAAACTCAAAAATTTTAGGAAGACCATTCATGAAAACTACTAAAATAAAAATTGATGTTTTTTATGGTACATTTTCTATGGAGTTTGATGAGAATATTATTATTTTTAAAATTCATGATGATGTTATCCCAACTGATAACTATTCTGTTAATTTTCTGGATGCCACCACATCTTTATCTGAGGACTACTGTGAGTTTTCTAATCATTTCATGCAAGAAGTATTTTCAAACAGAAATTTCAGTTTTAGAGCATCAACATGCTGGTAGAAAAATACAAGCTTGCGGAGGAGGAGATGATTGTTGTGCATGGTTCGAGAAAAAAAAAAGCAAAATTTAAGAGGCTAAAAAGAGAATCGTTTGACTAGAATGTTGGCCAAAACTATGCACAAAAGAATATTACTAGAGTTACATACATTGTTCTAGTTTTCTATAGTTTAAACCTCATTGCTTTGACATATATGGTGAAGTATCTTACTAGAGTTACATACATAAGGTGTTCGATGAAATACCTGAGCGAGATCTTGTCTCTTAGAATTCCATCATTTCATTTTCATGTTCATAATAATAAAACAATTCAAGGATTGAAACTGTTACACAACATGGTTTAATTAAAAGAAAGAGCAAAGAATCTCCTACGGTTAAATAAGAAGTTATTAAACAAAGGACAATCTAATAAAATGGGTTGAGAGTCATATCAAGTGCAATTAAAAGAATGGCATAGGGTGATTTAATATTCTATAAAAAAGGTGGTAAAATAGAAATAACAAGTTCTTAAGTCATTACAATCTAATGTCATAATGATTATATAAATGGTAAACTCCTTGTAACAACAAAAACGCACTTCAGGGCTTAACAATTAACTAATTACAAGATCATTACATAACAAATGCTTTAACCAATCAACAATTAGGTCACAATATACAAATCACTAATTCCTTACAATTAAGTCATTACAATTTCTATGGCTGTGATTTTCCAAGCAAAATAACAAATCAGTAACTACTTTCCAATCAAATTAACAAATCCTTAACCACTTTCAAAGCATATTAACAGATCAGTAGCATGGCAAATAGCATAGACACAAAATTAGTAACATGTCTTTAAGAATCATGGAGAAAGACCTACTTGGTGGTGGTGGCGGTGTTTGTCCCGAAATTAAATCAAAACATTGACGGGCGGTAATATGCTGACGTAATGTTGGTGTTGAATAAAACTCATGAAAGAGTTAATTTTGGAAGTCAGAATAACATGCACAAAAAGCTTTCCATGGAAATATAGTAAACCGTTAATTAAGAGAAACCCTTCAAATTTATTAGGTTCAATGACTATTTTGATCAGAAATTGTTTGGTTGTATGGGAAGTAGCAATAAAACGACATATATGGTCTAGAAGTTGACATCGACATAAAAGGAATCTAATGTTATTCAATAATACAACTGGAAGATTTAAGAGGAATCAATTTATTTTTCCTTGAAATCAAGAACATATTCGTCTTCAACCTTTTGGATTTGTGTGTTCCTGGAAGTCAAGTTCTCCATTTTCATCGGTTCAAAACATTCCAATCATCTGTTTTTAAGTGTAGTTGGATCTTCATGAAAGAAGTATGGTGGTGGGAGATGGTAGGGAGGTGAATGATAGTGGTAAATGCTGGTACGACTTTAGAAATGAAAGCCTTTGAGCATGCCAAGTTTTGTTGGTGTTAGTCTTTATAATGATTTCTTATTAATTTATATCATTAAGTTTGTCGAAACAAAAAAAAATGTGGGCATTTTACCCAGTGGCGGAGCTTGAACAATTAACTAGGGGGGCGAAAGTATTATAAATTGAAATTAACGTTCTTAAAAAAAACAAATTGTTTTCAACAAATAAATACAAAAAACACCTAGAAAAAGAATTACAACTCAGCCCGACGACCTTTAATGTCTTTAAACACCAAAAATAGTCTAAGGTTTTCATCTTTCCCATTATTATATCTATAAAAATCAAAATGAAAGAACAATTGATTCAATCAAAATCAAAATTAGAACAATAACCAATAACTCATTTAACAATTAACAGTGTGTGAAAACTGAAAAGTGAAACCAAATCAAATTGACAAATTGACAGCCAAATCAATTTTATAAAAATAGTCTAAGGTTTTCATCCATCTTTGTTTTCAGTTTTGTTTGAAGCATAACAATTAACAAAATCAATTTTTTTTTTCTATTCCAGACTTCCAATTTGGTGTGCAGTGTCCAGTCCTACTATCCTACAGCTTATAATAAATATACTAGAAGAGCTAAACAAATCATAATTGGATACTGATAAATCAAATTGACAAATTGACAGCCAAGTTAAAAAACAAACTGTAACTCCTAATTTGGAGTTTGGACCGAGAGAAAAAGAGGAGTCAGGAAAAACTCGGAAACAGCAGCAAGTCAGCAACAGTGCAGCACAACATTCAATCAGAATAAATAAATGAAGAACAAGAGAACTAAATAAATGAATAACAAGAGAACTGGAAAAGAAAGAACAAGATTCGAGATCGGGGATTCCATACCTGATTTTTGGACCGAGAGAAAAGAGGAATCAGAACAAAGAAGTGAGACCAAGCGAGTGACTCAACACAGCGACAGCAGGTAGCATCGATTCAGCGTACGAGGAATTGGGGAAGAGCCGATTTTGATTTTTGGATTATTTCTTGGAGAAGTCGGACTATGCTTGCTGCTTGGAGTCTGGTTCGGGAGGGGCCAAAGCCCAAGTTTGAAAATAACAGGCCTGTAATTAAATTTTTTGAAGTATAATCTCTATTTCTAGCCCAAAAACCAGGGGGGGCCACTGCCCCTCCTAGCCCCATAGATATTTCGCCCCTGATTTTACCTATAATAGCAAGTTTATAGGTTACTATGAAATTTAATTTACAAAAAAAAAACCTCTTAATTTTACACATCTTTTACGTTTTTATACTAAGTATGTTTTTTTTCTTCATATTATACGTATTAATGCAGAAAAAACGTATTTATATAGGGAAAATAAAAGGTTTAACTAAACAACATATACATATGTTTTTAGAGTTATAAATACATATTTTTACCTTTTTAGAAGTTTAAATACTATTACTATTATTATTATTATTACTACTACTATGTATTTTACCTTTTAAGAAGTATAAAAATGCATTTTTTATTTTTTTAGAAGTGTAATTATAGTTTTAAAAGGTATAAATACGCATTTATATTTCTATTCTAAGTATAAATATTTATTTTTATTTAGAGGTATAATTATATTTTTAGAAGTATAAATATATATTTTAACGTTTTTAGAAGTATAACTTTATTTTTTGTTTATATAAACACGTGTTTTCTAGATATAATTCTAGAACGTAAAAATACATATCTATAATTCAAAAAAATAATTAATATTTATTTTTAAAAATATATTTATACTTCTAAAAAAATATAAAAATAAATATTTATAGTTCTATAAAAATTGTATTTAAATGATGTCTAGTTAAAAAAAATCCGTGTATATTTTATAATAAAGTAGAAACGTAAAAGATTTATAAAATTTATAGGTTTTTTTTATTAATATATATATAATATTAAAAGACATTAATAAAGTTAAAGGTAGAAACGTAAAAGATTTATAAATTTAAAGGTTTTTTTTATTAAATTATATTTTATAATAACATGAAAACCTGCTAGCTAAAATGACAACTTTCATTTATTTATTTTTTATTTTTGGCAAAGATAAGAACATAATGGAGAAAAAATCATACAAACTTGACAAGCTCAATAACTATCAATATATAATCACCGATAAAAAGAACAAAATAAAATAGTTTATTTTCGTTTTCCAATTCAACACACAGAAGACAGGTAAACCTAAAACCCATTATTCACACAATTATGAGAACTAAAAACATGATAAACCATCAAAGCAATCGTCATCTCCATAACGATACCCACTGCAATCAAGATCACCAATACTTCCCGAAGTTGTCGCCGTTGTAACTCTTTGGACCCGACATGTACTGATAACCACCCTGTTGACCACCGGAACTGTGATTGATCGGTCGCACACCGCCGTTCGACGGCATTTTACCTTCCTGATCATATGGCGACGGACCTGCAATGGCGGAAACGTGTTTGTGTGCAGCGGCGATATCTTCGAGTGAATACGGCTTCTGGCCGTCTTGAATCGTATCAACAACAGGCTCACGGTTGACTTTTCCGGCATCTGCTGCCGGAGCTTTTAATGACTGCCCAAGGCGTTGAGCTACATCTTTGTAAGTCGGCGGTCCTTTCATGTCGGATTCGCCATCGATAGCCCTCCTATGAGGTTGATCTGGGGTACCTGAAACCGGCCGACCTATATTCATATCTTTGTACGACGGAGCGGCTTTACCGGCGGCGTAGTATGGGTCGTTGACCGACGAGTTAGAAGGCTCGGCGGGCGGGCCATTGAACGAGGGGGCTGAAGATCCATCCATGGAATCAGAAGTGAGAAGTACCCAAGAAAGAAATTTGTGAAGAAGATCTGAAGATAGAAGGGAAGACCGAGGGAAGGGGTACTTATAAACCCGATACGTAGGTGATGAAGTCATATCATGACGTTGCATTGTTTTAACAACAGATTATAATGCAAATTATCAAATTAATACAGCTGTGTTAATGGTGTTTGTAAGAGCAAAAACGCTGAATTAGGAAAAAACAAAATTCATTTTTGACAAATAAAATAGGATGGAAAATGTCAATTATTACGTTTCGGTTATTAAAAGTTAAATAATATATAAATACAAATAATTTTAAATAATAAAATAATTGATATAAAAATATCGTTGACCTAGTATAATAACGCTAGTGGTATGCATTCACATATGACTTAGACAGGAAAACACAAACAACTTAAGAGGAAACTACAAATTTTATTAATACAAACTCTCCAAATGAAGCAATTAATTTTAAGGGGGACCTTGTGGATCTAGATTGTGTCATTTTGCATGGAGCAAATGACATAAGAGTCAATTAACTTTCGAACATTACTCACCATAAAACTTCCATCAGTCGAAAGCTTAGCCTTCAAAGTATCCTCCATGCGGAACCGGTATGAATAGCAACAATACTCCTTAAATTATTGAGCTCATCGATCTCCTCCTGCCAGTTAGTTTGCCATTTCCATGCCCAACCACCAATATTCGGATAAATTTTTTCATTAACAAAGCAAAACTTCCACCGATCAAGGGCAAAGAGCTGAGGAAATTTGGAAGCCAAGGAGGTATCTCCCGCCCATTGATCAAACCAGAACAATGTGTCATTCCCCCTTCCTACCTTGAAATAAAAAATAAATGAAATAGGAATGCCAGTCTTGTCATCAAGGATCTTTGCGATATTTTGGCATACTCCAAGGATCGATTTTTTTTTTTAATATATAAACCAGATAAGGGTTTTCTGCAAGATTATGAGTACCACATAATTTTTCTCTTCCTTTAAACTCCATATCCACTTAGCCAAAAGAGCCCAGTTGAGAGAGCCCATCAACCCTATGCCGAGCCCACCTATATCTTTAGGGGCTAAGATGACTTTCCAAGTGACCCAATGAATTTTATTTTTCTCATCATTTCCACCCCTAAAAATTTCCTCCTCACTTTCTCAATCAAATCAATGACCGAGTTGGGAACCTTAAAAATGGAAAAATAGTAAAGCGGAAGCCTACTTAAAACCGATTTAAGGAGAGCCAATCTTCCACCGAAAGAAAGAGTTTTAGCTTTCCACGAGGAGAGTTTGTTTAGAATTCTCTCAATTATCGAAGCCCAATGACAAATGATATTAGGAAACCACATACAAGAGGAAAGTGTATATGAGGCGTGTTCAGGAACCGAACCGGTCGCTGAACCGGAAACCGGTTTAGGCCTAAACCGGTTCACTTAAGAACCGAATCGCATATGAACCGAACCACCGGATCCGACCAATTCGCCCTTTTTACCCTTGAGACCGGTTTGGAACCGGTTTTTTATCCGGTTTGCTGAACCGGTTTTGAACCGGTTTTCGAGAGTTACCGTTTTTTTGTCTTTTCCTAACGGCTATATAGCCGTTTGAGGCTGATAAGGACCCGATTTTGGCTCTTTTTTTACCATATTAACCATTCCTTATAGTATATATATGTATTAGATGTTTAGGTCTCCACTTTACCTTAACAATTCCTCAAAAAACCTCTCTTAGTTCAAAAAACCCTCTTAATTCAAACAATGGATTCGGCTTCCATTGGTGTTGGAGATTCATCAAACAATCCTACCGTTGTTAGCATCAAAGAAACAAATAGAAATCCGGCTATTTGGTGCAACTATGATTTGTGTGTAATGTCGAACGGTACAAAAAGAGCGCGATGCAAGAAATGTGGTGCTTTTTTTAATGAAGATGGGAATTCGACATTGAAAACTCATATGACCAAAAGATGCCCCGCGGTGAAATTTGGGCCGGGACATAATCAAACAACAATGGCGAATGATGCAACATTGTGGAGTTACGATTTGGGTAAAGTTCGGGATAGGATGGCGAAGTTCGTGATTCAAGAATGTTTGCCTTTTGACCACTTCGACAACAAACGATTGACTTCACTTATCCAAGATACTCTCCAACCACGATATTGTCATGTGAGTCGTACTTCTATTAGACGTGATTGTATTGAAATGTGGAAACTTGCAAAAAATGAAATGATTTTAGGATTTCAATCTTTAGAAACCGGTGTGAATTTAACTTGTGATGTTTGGACGGCTCCTCACGGTTCACCGGATGCGTACCTTTGTGTTACCGCTCATTGGATTAATCCAACTAATTGGGTAATGATGAAGCGTACGATTACGTTTGAATTGTTTGAGTACCCGCACACCGGTAGAAATTTATTTAAAATTTTAGATTGTGTGATCAAAACTTATAAACTTGAAGGAAAGATTTTTTCTATATCTTTTGATAATGCTTCAAACAACACCGTCGCGGTTGGACAACTAAAACTAAAATATAAACCAATTTGCGATGGTGTTTTTTTTCATAGTCGATGTGTTGCACATATCATTAATTTGGTTGTGCAAGATGGACTAACTAGCATTGAAACTATAAAAGATGGTTTCAAAGACATGCTAAAAGATATTTTTAGTTCTAGTAATGCTCGATATCATAATTATATGCAATTTTGTGTCGATGCGAATGCCCTCTTTTTAGGTCCGAATTGGGAAAATAATACCCGATGGAACTCCACTTGCAAAATGTTTGAATGTGCCTTACGTCAAAAAGATACTTTAAAAATGTTCCATGACAACCTTGCGGACCGTAATAAGGTTACGGCTTATCCGGAATCAAGTTGGGATACTATCAAACTTGTTACGGACATGCTTGATGTTTTTAAAAAAGCAATTACTTTTTTATCGGGGGTTTATTATCCTACAAATTGTTTAGTTTTAAACCAAATTTTTTTAATGTGTGCGAAAATAAATGAGTTTGAAATGAGGAGCACAATGTTTGCTAATATGATGAAACCGATGAAAGCAAAGTTAAAAAAATATTTTCAAGAAATGCCTCCCATTATTACTTGTTCCGCCGCTTTAAATCCGGCTCTAAATATTGGGGGGTTGAGACTTTAATTGAAAATATTTGTTACGATTTGGGTTTATTGGATGATGACATTGATTATGCATCAAAGGAAGTTTCAAATTTTAACAAAGTTTTTCAAAATTTGTTTGAAGTTTATTTAACAAAATATGGTTCAACAAACATTCATGACATGATGCAAAATACGGGGGCATTCGGATCCACTTCTCACCAAAATAACGAAACAATTAGGCTTTATAATACTTTGAGGAATGAAAATTCCAAACGAGCTCGGTCTAACACCCCTAGTAGCGAGCTCGGAAGGTACATTGGTTCCGATTTCTTGTTTCAAATGAGTATTCAAGAGTTTGAAAATTTTGATATTTTGGCTTGGTGGAAAGGAAAGGAAACCCAATTTCCGATTCTAGCCGCTATGGCCCGTGATCTACTAAGCTCCCAAGCTTCTACGGTAGCTTCGGAATCGGCTTTTTCTGTTAGTGGCAGGGTAATATCACCAAGAAGAACAAAACTAACCCCTTTGTCGGTGGAAGTGTGCATTTGCTTGAAATGCTACATTGATGGCGTGGAAAGGATACAAGACATTGAAGTACTAGAAGGCACATCGTTGCATGTCGAACAACGAGTACATGAGGAAGAAGTAGCGATGGGAATGTCGGTGGCACTCACCCTAGAAGAGATCGAGTATGAGAGAGGATTACGCAACGACATGGCGGATGACGAATAAATACAATGACTACGGACTTGGATTGAAGACTACGACGACAACAATGTTCTATATTTGAAGATGTATTAGTTTGACAATTTGGATGTTTTGTGTTTTTATGTTTGAAGTTGTATTATGTATTTCCAATATAAAAAAATGAAAAAAATGAAAAAAAGATTGAAAATTGCTCCAAAAAATGTGTTGATTCAAGTTGAACAATTTTGTACATACATTATGTTTTTATACATATACACAAACATCAAATCTAAAACCAAAAAAAAAAATTAATACATCAAAAGATATGTATATTATTAAGCAAGAAACAAAAAAAAATTAAAAAAAAACCTTTTGGCATATATATGGACATGTGTTAGTGTGTATGTGTGTGTATTACCAAAAGCCTAAGCCTTCCCAATTCACCCCATTTCCAAAAAACCTACTGTGAGACCCCCCTTTTTTTTTTGTTAAACACAATAAAAACAATAGATTCAAAAAAAAAAAAAAAACCATTCCTATTTTTCAGTTATTAGCCTAAAAACAAAAAAAAATTGAAAAAAACCTTTTTTCCGTCGAACCGGTTTTGAACCGGTTTAAGAAACAGTTTTTGGACCGGTTTTTTGAACCGGTTTTTTTTAACCGGTTTCTAGAGAACCGAACCGGTTTACATATGTTCGGATTATTTTGAGGCTGGACCGGTTTAGAACCGAACCGGTTTCAGGGTGAACCGGTTTTGACTAAGTTGACCAGAACCGAACCGGTTTTCTGAACCGGTCCGGTTCAGAAAAAAAACCGGTTTGTGCATGCCTATGTTTATATGCCTTTGATTTTATTTCTTCGAAAATAGAAAAAGTGTTTTTTTAAATAACACGACATCGCAAATAAGATAACGACTTTATAGACGAGTTGTGAAACCACATGCGTTTGCACCTCGTCTATGGTTTCATTAGCTATTTTTCGATAAACCATGATTTTTGATTATTTTGGTTGTCATTAAGAAATTAGCTTTTTTAAATAATTTCTCAAAAATATATTATTATGACAAGGGTGTTTTTATTACATCTTAGATTGTCTCCAACCCACCCTCAGCACTCTATTTTTCACTTCATATTTATTTATATTCTTTTCAAACCTGACTCTATTTCTTAGTCAATTTATTCGGGAAACGAATAGTATTATTCACTATTTATTTCAGTAATATTAACTTGAATTTTCAGTTGTCGATTTTAATCTTCTGTCTTTTTATGCTTATACATTTATAGTTAATTTTTTTCTATTAGTTATAATATAAATGTAATAATTAATATTTAGGTATCT